GCACTCGCTTTTGAGTTTGGGTTTGAGTTACGAAACTCAGTGTTGCTGGTTTTTTGGTCTAGGGGAAGGGTTTATGGGAGTCAAAGAAGCAGAAATATTATCCTAGTGAAGCAACACTATTGTTGCATCATGCTGCAGGAGATGCGGATTTTAATGGTTGGTTTGGATGCAGCCGGCAAAACGACGATTCTTTATAAACTGAAACTTGGCGAAATCGTCACAACGATTCCCACGATTGGTTCGTTTACAACGATTTTCTTCATCTGGAACTCTGTAACTTTTCTTATGATTTGTTGTGTAGTAACAGCATGCGTTTTGCTTTTTGATGTGACAGACTGTGCGTTTTTGAACATTTTGTGCCAAAACCATTACATCCAGAGGATTACGGACCATAGGGTGCCAATTTGTTGAAATTTTGAGATTGTCTTGTTGATTTGTTAGTTCTATAACGGAGTATGGGTTCGATATGCAATGCAAAATCACCGAAGCTTATATGGAACGTAAAAATAGAAAAGCCGGATATGTCAGACCGGAGGTTCAGAAAGGGAAGTCGAATCAGGAAATCAAAGCCCCATATTCATATTTGGTTTTAATGGGAGGCGAACATACACAAAAATACCAAATGCCAAAAGCAACCACTCGCTGGTGAAATTGTCGGTGGATCTCTCATTTGTGGAAAGCAGGTGAAACGTAAAAATAGAAAAGTCGTATATGCCAGACCGGGGGTTCAGAAAGGGAAGACGAGTCAGAAAATCAAAGCCTCATATCCATATTTGCTTTCAATGGGAAGCGAAAACACTCAAAAGTAGCAAATGCCAATAGCAACCACTCGTTGGTAAATTTGTCGGTGTATCACTTATGCCTGGAAAGCAGATGAGGGACTGTGGATGGGATGTCAGATCAAAAGCATAGCAGTTCACTTGCTTTAATCTGTGTGTGTATGTGTATTTGTCAATACTTATCGATTATTTTTTGCATATTTCAGGCTTTAATGTTGAGACAGTAGAATATAAGAATATTTCGTTCACGGTTTGGGATGTCGGTGGACAGGACAAAATACGGCCCCTTTGGAGACATTATTTCCAAAATACTCAGGGTTTGTTTTCTATTGTTGTTTTTTTCAAGCCGCTCTTGACTTTCCTTGTTTTTTTTCTATCGCTGTTAGAAAAGTTTGGAAAACTGCTAGACTCGTCGGCGAATTTTTTCATCTTAGCATTTTGCGATTTATAGGATTTTTGGCTTTGTTGCTGGCTTTTTTGTTGCTAAAATTGTACCCTGCCATCTTTTTAGGCAGTGTTTTTCTTTTTGTTTATCTGTCGGGAAATTGTCTGTATTAGCAACGTTGAGAACAAATTTTAGACCAGAATTTGTCGTCCTGGGCTTGCCATTGAGTTGTTGATTTTAGGCCTAATATTTGTTGTGGACAGCAATGACCGTGAACGAGTGGGTGAGGCCCGAGAAGAATTGATGCGTATGTTGGCCGAGGATGAGTTACGCGATGCAGTTCTACTTGTTTTTGCTAATAAACAGGTGATTTTTTGCTTTTTTTCTTAAAAAGTACAATTCTGTACATGATGACTCATCGTATGATGAAACAAGAAGCCATGGTACTTCCAGGAAACCAGTTCTACAAAAAAAAAGGATTGATTCCCTGTTTTATTAGATCGAAAGCAACAGTTGCTTAGCTGTGCGTGCTTTGCTCAGAGAGAGAAGGAGAGAAGATTTTTGGTATTTTTAAGGGCGAAAA